TGCGGCCACACTAAGGCCAGGCCTGGTGCGAGGCAGGAGGGGCCACCCACCGACCCTCTGCTTCCCCCATTCCTTCCTGCGCGGGGATGAAGGAAAAGGTGACATGTCTTCCTGAGCTCCAGACAGGGCCTGGCCAGCCACCAGAAGTGGCCGCCACTGCCTCAGGATTCGCGAGGACCCCTCTTTCTCCTGGGGACTGACGGGTGCAGGGGAGAGGTGGGAAGCAGAGGTCGCTGAGTTCAGCAGCATCTCACGAGGCCGGCGTGCATAGTGCAGCAACAGGAAACCCACCCTGGGTGGCCACTGTCAGGACAGATGGGCCCGGCCTGAGCCCGGCTTCCTACGGCGGGTCCCGCGTCCGCTCGCGGCCCTTTCTCTGCGGCCCTCGATGGAAGGCTGTCCCTGCGAGGTCAGCCGGGAGCAAGGGCCACTTCTGCACCCTCCACTGCTCTTTCTCATCCACGAGCCGTCAGCGAGGTTCACCTGTCTGTCGGCCCCGGAAGGTGGCCGGCCAGCCCCCCGCCTTCGGTCCGTGACGTGTGGTCCACTGTTCACCCAGCAGGACCGAACCGTGCAATTGTGTGAGAGTCCTGTCTAGTGACGCAGGGGCAGGCCCGCAAAGAAAGCCGGGGGCTCCTCCAGGCCGGGTCACACCCCCGCCGTGGTCTCCCCAGGCACCCACTCCCTCCTGGCCTCATCGCCCTCGCCTGGGGAAAGAGCGCAATGAGGTAACCTCGGGGGACTGGGAAGGGGCCCGTGCTGGGCCTCCGAGTCCCCCTTCTGTTCAGCCTGCTCCCCGGCTGCCAGCGATGCTGCCACCCACCGGAGTGTTTGGGGTCAGGGGACACAGAGGGTGACCTTCTCCAGCAGCCTCAGCTACATCTCACTCAGCCTTAAGCCAGTCTGCCCCTTGGCTCACAAACCTTTAATGGCTCCCACTGTCCACCAGAGAAAGGCCCAGCTCCCCAGTCCAGCAGGAAGACCCCGCCCACGTAGACCCCCGGCGGATGCAGACGGCGCCCAGGGACGGCTTGCTGAGTGCTCAGCTGGGACAGCGTCCAACACGTGCTGAGCCCTGTCCAAGGGCCAGGCACCCGCTTTGCAGCATCTGCTCCCCGAAGCGGCCCTCAGTGGGTCTTCGCCTTAGCTCTACTTCTAGAGGAAATCGAGGCCAGGCGCTCGCGGGCTCCAGGCAGCCCCAGAGCTGGGCGTGAAGCCTCTCACCCCGAGCCCTGCCCTCCAGCACCCCGCTCGGCGGAAGGAGGGAAGGAGCGAAGGAGCGAGTCGGCCAGTCGATCGACCGACTAGCCAGCCGGTCAGTCCAGGAGCGGACAGACCCCCCACCTGACTGACGACCGGGGCAGAGGTGACGCCCCAGCGACCCAGGCACCTACACACACACTCGCTCCCACCATCCTGCCACAGCCCTTTGAGGGGGCCCCAGCATTGCCCCCACTTCGGAGGTGGGCAAGCCTCGGCACAGGGCAGCCGCGCCGCAGGCCCGAGGCCACGCGGCGAGTAAGCGGCAGAGTCCGGACTTACACCCGGTGTCCTGGGCCCAGTCCCTGCTCTGGCTGCCCCTGCACACGCCAGTCAAGGGGGTACCTCCCACACCTGGAGAAGGAGAGGGGGTCGGCGGATTAGAAATAATAACGACGATACGGATACCGCTACGATCAGGAGTAGCGATGGCGGTGATGACTGCTAACTAACGGGAGTCACAGCAAGGGCGGCGAACCCTCACGGCTCCTGACAGGCCGTCACTCGCTCGAGCTTCTCCCGTGTTCTCAGCGTAAGGGCTGTTACTGCCCCACCTGACACACACGAAACCGAGGCTCAGGAGAGTGAGCCACTGCCCAAGGCCGTACAGGTGCCGGTCAGACCAGGACACGACCCTCCTTCCACCCCCGAGCCCTGGCTGCACCATCTGCCTTGCTGGGCGCTCTGGTCCTCCAAGTTCTGCGGTCCCCAGGGGCGCAGTGGGGCCACACCCCGAGGAAACCTGGAAAGCGAGGCCTAGGGCCAGCACGCTGCCAGAGGGGACGCCTATAACCCAACCGCCTGGGCTCTGCGGGCTGTGGACGCTGACTGGGAGGGGCGGGGAGTGCGGGAGGGCAGGGTGGGGGGCAGGAGCGGAGGGGCGGAGAGGAAGGAGAGGGCGCGGGGAAGGGAAGACATCCCTGTGTGCCTGGGGCGGCGCTCGGAGTCCGCGCCCCCAATTCTGAGCCGGGCTTTGCAGAGGCAGCCCAGGCTGCTGGGGCTCAGCAGCCTCTCTGCTCTAAGGATTCCGGCAGGTGTTAAGGACAGGTGCACGGTGCCCTCGCCCTCACTGAGTCTTCCTCCCTCTGGAAAACCAGAATCCTGGAAAATCTAGGGAAAAGCAGAATTCCTGGTATGCGAGCGAGCACTGCCTGAAGCTTGAGGAGCATGGGGACCGATTCCAGTGGTCCCGGAAAACAGGGGCATGAAGGAGGCGTGGCCTCACTGGACAGGATGAGGACCGGGGCGCTGGCAGGGGCCCCACTGAAGCCTGAGGGCCAGCCCCAGCCCTGGTCACAGAGACATGAACAGTGTCCCCCCAGAACACTCAAGAGCGCTGGGAACGGGGTACCCTGGAATTCTGCATGTGCCGTGCACCCTCCGCAGCCTGCTCCTCCTCGCTGGACCTCAGCGGGCTGCACGGGAGAGCGGACCTTAAACTGTAAACCCAGCGACAGGTGGCTCGCCTGCAGGCAGGAGGGCTGCTTGCTCCTTCCTGTACCTGCGTCTCTCTGAGGCATGTACGGCCCACTGATTTAGACCATTATCCTCGGGTCACACAGCTGTGGCTTCATACCCAAGTCAGTTGTTCGTGAGCCTGGCTAAGCCTCAGTTTCCCCATACTTGAAATGGTGACGATGCCTGGCATGCCACCAGCGTGCCCAAACTGGAGGGAGAGGGAGCAGAGGCCACCCCCAAATGGCCCTCGCTTCCGCTGACCCGCTGCGGAGGAAGCAGTCCCTCCACGGAGACCGTTTGTTTGCTCAGAGGCAAGTCTGTGCCCCGGGAAAAGGACAGGTCTCAGCGCCCCCGGGAGCCCCTGGGAGGCCAGGGCTGGGCTGGCTGCTCCCTGACCTGTCCTCCCCTCCCCGGCACAGTCCTAAGCCTGTGAGGTCAAACGGAGTGGGGGAGACGCTCGCTTGGGGGTCATTTGCCTCTCGGTCTTCACTCTGACGCTCTGACAGCCACAACACCCGGGTGAGTCAGTGCCTGACCCACCAGGCTCTGGCCTCGGGCCCCAGCCGGCTCTCCAGGCCCCGAGAGGAGAGCCTGGCACAGAGCGGGCACGCCTGCCCATCCCCGTACCCGGGAGGGATGCTGACCCTGCAGCCGCCCTGCGGGTCTGCTGGGCGTGAGCCGCGAGAGGCCCCAGGCCTGGCCAGACGCCTGGGGAGGTGGGTGGCGGGGGTGTGTGTGTGGGGGGTGGTGCTCACCATCTTCAGCTTGTGCTGTTGCAGGATCTCATCCAGGTTCTGCCTTTTCTTGTAGTTGAAGTAGAAGTTCTTACACTGTGACACGGTCTTGGAGCCCACCATCCGGGCGATGGCCGACCAGTTCCGGCCATGTTCCAGGAGACCTGGGGGAGGGCGGCAGGTGAGGGCTGTGCCCATGGCCTGGGGGGATGGACAGAGCGCTGGGCAGCCCTGACACCAAGCCTGAGACCCACTGCTTGGGTCCAAACCACCCAGAAGTGGCGGGGGGATGGACACCAGAGAGATTGGGGGTGGAGAGCCTGGCCCCCCTAGGCTGCGTGGGAGGGGCCTAGGCTCTGGGCACTGGGAGGGCAGGTGGGCGCTCCCCACAAGTGCACCCCCACCCAGGCTGCCGTCAAGGGCCCCGGGAGCTGCGGGCTGAGGTCTGGGGCACAGACGCCCCCGGCCTCCACCTCCCCTGCCTGCCTGCAGCCGTGACCCGGCACTGACACGCACTTGCAGCTGCAGACAAGGCCTCGGGAGACGGGCTGTGTTCCGGCTGCACTGGGCCAGGGAGAGGAAGGAACGTGTGAGCCGGGGGCGGTCTGGGGGGTAGTGGAGAGTCCAGGTGGGGGTGAGCTGGGGCCAGAAGCCTCCACACCTAGGTAACGGGGGCACCCCAGGGTCCAAAGGCCCACCCTGGACTCGGGGACCACTGGGCTGGTCCAGGGGCTGACGGTGGACTTGCCCCCAACTCTGCGAGCTGCTCACAGCCTCACAGTATCCTGATGCAGGGAGACAAGCCCCCCAGGAATGGGCAGACTCCACCCCAAACCCACTGAGGTCAGAGAAAGTCCTCTCCATCCCCACACTCAGGCCAGAGCTGTACCCCAACCCCCACTTCTATTTTCAATGCTCTGAACACCAGGCTCCGCAGAAACATCCCGTCCCAGGCTAGAGGCAGCACCCCGAGAAGCCTGGCTCCGGGTCTCAGGCCATCTGCCCGCTGAGCTGCGGCACACATGGGCCAGCCGTGCCCACGACCGGTGCCTCCCCGTTTCTGCCCGCGTCCCCAGGCGGCAGTGCTCCCTGAGCAGCGGCCAGTCTGCAGGGCAGGTGGGGTCAGCCCACTTCCCGATGGCCCGGCGGGAGGCGGGCTCCAGGCCTCTAGGGGCTGCGGGGCAGGACTGGGGCCCCCCAGAGGGCGGCAGGCATGAAGCCTGAGTCACGTTGCTGGGAACACAGCGGCCTCTGAGCCCCAGTGCTAGACTTGTAACGACTAACCAAAGACTTCCCATAACGAAGTTTGAGGCCATTTTCCTTGCATCGAATCAAGCTGCAAGCAGGGAGGGTTACGGCGGGAATGCCGCAGGGGTGCAGGAGCCTGAGGGGCTGGCAGCCTCTCTCTTTCATTCATTCATCCACCCATCCTTTCATCCATCCGCACGCGTGCCGGTGGCTTGCTGCACACCAGACTCTAACAGAAATAACACAAGAGCAGCGGAAACCCCGTCAACAAACCACTGTGTCCCACAGCCAGGTGACCCGGACTGTGCAGAGCCCTTCAAAGACTTGCTTGCGGCTCACCCTTTGCCGCAAGGCCTTGAGCAACAGCTTCCCTTCCCCGGGACGGGGACGCCAAGGCTGGGAAAGGTGGGGGGCGGCGGGGGGACAGCACCTCACGAGCTCGTGGAACAGGCCCAGGGGTCGGGTGGGCGTGGGGAGCGGGGGTTTCTGGACCCAGAGGGTGGGGGTGGTGCTGGCCGGACAGGCCACCTGCTCCCCTGAGAAGGCCACAGGGCCACGTGGCTCCCAGCCCCTCAGGGTTCCTCAAGGACAGGCGGAGGGGAGGGGAGGGCGTGGGATCAAGTGCAACCCGGCCCCCTGACCTTTCCCTCTGCCCGAGCCAGCAGCAGCTGCCACCGCCACAGAACCTGGCGGAGGACGATGGGGACGCGCGTTTATTTATATTTCCCCAGCCGGGGCCAAGAGAGCCCAGGCAAACACGTCGGGCCGGAGCCCTGGGTGGGAGGGGGTGGGTCTCCCATCTGGGCCTCCTGCGGGGGAGCGGCGGGCGCCCAGAGGGAGCTGGACCCTGGGGAGCCTGACATTTCTGAACTGGGCAAACAGATAGCGAGGTGCGTCGGCGTCCAGGGAGGGCTGGGGTCCTAACTACCTCCACGTGCGGCAGCAGCGAGAGCTGGTGGGGGGCGGGGGCGGGTCGCGGGTCACCCGGCCCCTCCCGACGGCGAGAGGCTCACCAAGAACACCGGACATAGCGTCCAGAAGCCCTGCCCAGAACGTTCTGTGTGGTCTCGGCCATCTCCCTCTCTCGGGCCTCAGTTTCCTTAGCTACCGCGTGAGGGGCTGGGGTACGTGTGCGGCCACTGCTGGCCGGCGCCCCTGGGGCGGGGGCGGGCGGCGCACACTTCCCTCTGGTTCCAGTTCCTATGGCCCCAGACAGAGGATGCCGGGCGCAGGGAGAAGCACTTCAGACCCCACCATGCCTTGGAAACCACCCGAACCAGACCCAGCGGAAGCGCCCGCCACGCCAGTCCCCCTGGAGAAACACCTCCAGCATGCTCCAACCAGCACCCCCAAGACCGGGGTCGCACCCTCCTTCCTGGAGAACCCGGGCCCTACAGGCAGCAGAGGCAGGAGAGGGGATCCCGGGGAAAAGGGTAGGGGTGCAGCCCCGCAGGCACAGAACCCCTGAGCCCCTGGCCCCCCATCCCTGTCACTGCGGCCCGAAGCCCCCCTCCCCGGGGCCACTCACTCACATCCTCTCATCTGCGTCTCCCCCTCCGCCAAGTTTTCCGGAAACATACGGCTTGGAGGATGCTCCAGGGAACGGAGCTGGGAGCAGCGGGCTGGGAGGCGGGAGGCTGGGCGGCCGGCTCTGGCGTCTGCTGGCGGCTCAGCTCAGTCTCACATCCTTCTCCTCCAACAGCGCCAGGGAGGAGGGAGGGAGGAGGGAG